TATATATATATTTATATATATTCATGCATATGTGGAGATGTGTATATTAGATCTGAGAGAAGTTCAGAGGAAAATAATGGAATCAGCTGGAGTGGAAACTCAGCTATAGTCACATGCTTGGTTTCCCAGGATCACTGACTATGGAAATCGATAGGAAATTTTGGCAGCCTGATAATGACAGGCAATGCACCACAAATTAGGTCGTTTTCTTTAGTAGATCCCTGGGGAGAAGTTGTGAAACTAAATTTTGGTAGAGTAATCAAAGAGTACTTTGGGGCTGGGAACACTATAAAAGACAATGAATACCCTTTAAAAGAAATTCCCATCTTTCATCTCCTCCTTCTGGAAGATTCCTAAGCCTCACTTTGTGCTCTTGCACAGACAAATCTATAGAAAGTATTTTCTTAAATAATAATGTTTTATTTTACTTTGGAAAATCTGTGCAAATCCCAGGACTTCTAACTCCACAATCATGTGCTGCTGGCAGTTGAATGAAACATCTGAACCCCTTGGGACCCAGCTTTAGCAGTCTTGTGCTGCAGCCATGAGAGGAGCAGCTGGAACACAGTCAGCCAGAGGTTGTGTGCAAGTGTGAGAGCAGAAATTGGCCCSTGGCTTCTGGAAATGTCTGCAGCCTCCATCAGCTGAGCATTCCTTTTCCTCAGCAGCTAATCTGTGGGACATGCCTTCCCCATTCCCTGCCTGTGAGATGAGCCTTAGGATCTGCTCCTGGGAAAATGTGGAACTGGGCAAGTCGTTATTTCCAGAGCCTTGAGAACTTCTAACTTAATTTTGGCTTTTTTTTTTTTTTTTCTCCCCCTTCCCAGTGTCTCCTCCGACTGAGCTGACCGTGACCAATGTGACGGATAAAACAGTCAATCTGGAGTGGAAGCACGAGAACCTGGTCAACGAGTACCTCGTCACCTACGTCCCCACCAGCAGTGGGGGCTTGGACATGCAGTTCACAGTGCCAGGGAACCACACCGCTGCCACCATCCATGAGCTGGAGCCCGGGGTGGAGTACTTCATCCGTGTCTTTGCAATCCTCAAAAACAAGAAGAGCATTCCAGTCAGCGCCAGGGTAGCCACATGTGAGTTTAATATTCCCTGTGTTCATCCTTTTGTCTGCTCTGTTTTCAGCCCTTTTTTGGAGTGTTGCTTATCTAGTATTTTCTGTTTTCAGTTCACCTGTGTTGATTTCAATGCCTTTATTTTGGGATATTATTTATTTTGTGTTTTCCATTTTCAGTTCCTATGTATTGATGTGCATGCCTGTTTCTGGGATACTATTTCTCTTTTATTTTTTACTTTCAATTCAACTTTTGGCCAGGACAAAATCATTCTTCTGCACTTTCATTTTCTGTTTTACTCCAGTACCAGGGACTGTGTTAGCAGCACAGTTCAAAAGCTCTTCTGCTCTCAGTGTCTCCCAGTATGGGATTTTTGTAAATTAAGAACCTTAGCTTCTTTATTATAATATACATTCCTTTATTATAATGTACATTTATTTATCATAATGTACATTTCTTTATTATAATGTACATTTTAAAATTCTGATAATTCTTCCTGAAACATAGCAGCATGTAAAAGAGCAATGTGAAATCACTTGAATTTAAACTGTTTTGGTTAAAATTGAGTTTATATTTGGTTTGCATCTTCAGTGTGTTTTATCAACTTGCCTTTCATCTTCCTRCCTGTCCTTTTGTTGTTCATCTTCCTTTTTGTTTTGTGCATGTCACTGTCATGCCTAAACATCCCAGAATCAAAAATCACTGAGATAATTTTTAGAGACCTGGGTCAGGATTTAGTTCCCCTGACTTCCAATGTCCACACCAGCTTTATTCAAGAGGGCACAAAAAAGAGTTTTCTAGGGTAAAATTCATTTTATTCTAAAGTGACATCCAAATCAGCTCAGGAAAGTCCCTCCAAAACCAGAACAACTTGATCTGAGGAGTGTTGTACAAACTGAGCTGCAGATCCCCACCTGGCAGATATTTCCAGAGGTAGAAAGCTGTCCCACCCCAGTGCCCTATTTCTTGCTGCTCATGTGAGGATATCTCTTTTTTCTGCCACAGATCTGCCTGCTCCAGAAGGTCTGAGATTCAAATCTGTCCGGGAAACGTCCGTCCAGGTGGAGTGGGACCCTCTGAACTTTTCCTTTGATGGCTGGGAGCTGGTCTTCCGTAATATGGTGAGGACACAGTTTCATGTACAGAATGGAAAATCCTGGATTTTAATGTTTGTGCTCACTGATTGTTCTATATGTTCCAGAAAAAGGATGATAATGGTGACATAACCAGCAGCTTGAAAAGGCCAGAGACATCCTACATGCAGCCAGGTTTGGCACCRGGGCAGCAGTACAACGTGTCCATCCATGTCGTGAAGAACAACACCAGAGGACCAGGACTGTCCAAAGTGATCACCACAAGTAAGCACAGCCTGCGTTTGGTCTGGGTTTAGGTGGCCACTGACAAAAATTCTGCTCTTTTGGGGGTTTTTAAACAAGAGAAAGTCAAACTCTACAGTGAGTTAATAGAGGGAAAAAGGAGGAGTGAAGTTGCTAATGAGGAAAAAATCATTCCTCTCCAAATTACCTGTTTGAGGCAGAAAGGAAATTTATGTTCAGCTGGCAGGTAGCAGGCAGTATACACTTTTACTCCTTTTTCAAGATGCACATCAGCAGGAACTAGAATTTCTTACTGAATTTCTTCCATCCTGGTGATATTTGCATGAAGAATGCATGAGGGTGGAGAAGCTCTTAGGGCTCCTACTTGTCTTTCCTCTGGCAGCTTCTGGTGTGAAGGAATTTTGATGGATTTGCTGCAGATGGATTGACTCCATTTGGAGTCTGAACCTACAGGAACCAAAGGAAAGGAGTAAATGAGGAGACTTATTTTAATTTTGCTCTGAATCAGCAATTAAAGGCATAAGAATGTGGGTGTTTTTCACAGCAGGATTTCTTTAAAAAAGCTCCTTTTTTCTTCTCTTTTGCCTGGTAACAGAACTTGATGCCCCCAGCCAGGTGGAGGCCAGGGACGTCACCGACACCACCGCTCTCATCACGTGGTCCAAACCCTTGGCTGAAGTTGAAGGTGTGGAGCTCACTTACGGCCCCAAGGACATCCCAGGGGACAGGACAACCATTGACCTCTCTGAGGATGAGAACCAATATTCCATTGGGAACCTGAGGCCGCACACCGAGTACGAGGTGACGCTCGTGTCCCGTCGGGGGGACATGGAGAGCGACCCCGTGAAAGAAGTGTTTGTCACAGGTGAGGGGCTGGGAAGGGGGCACAGGGACCACCCACCCTCCTGTGAKGTTTGTGTCTCGCTACTGGAGTGGCAGCTCCTCATTCACACAAATCCAGGCCAGTTTTAGAGGTACAGGAAAGTGGAGAATGATTTCCTGTGCCTTCTAGGCAGCAGAATGTTTAGAGCCCCTCACAAATCCCAGTTTTGTAAATGGGGGTTAGGTTATTGCCTCTCCTACCCTAAACTCCTACTTCCAAAAGCAAATTCCTCTGGATCATTTGACTGTCTGATGAGCTAAATATCTTCCACAATTCCTATTCCACCTTATTTCACTTTGCTTAATTAGTTTTGAAGCAGAGAAGTGTTTTTTTTTCTCTTCTTCAGTTCTGCAAATATTTTCTGTCATGTTTTTATAAATTTATACTGCTCCTCAGCCATCTTGGGAATGCTTTTGGAAAGTGTGGGTCCTTTAGCAGGTTAGCAAGGCTTGATGCATTAAGGGAGCTGAGAATTACATATCTTTTCATCCTAAAATACAGTTGTTATTTCAGGGTAGGGTTTGAGGCTGCTGTAGGTGTGAAAAATGAAAGCTTATTGAATTTCTATGTAATATTCACCTTTTTTTTTGAGACTAAGAGTTCCTCCCAGCCATGAATGCAAGATGTTATTGAACAGAAATCCTAGAGATGATCAGTTCTTTGTTCTTTTTTYCYTTTKKAA